AGAGAGGGCCAATTAAATGCGCTGTAACAGTTAGTGGACTTGATAGATAAGGACGGCCAATTGAAAGCGCTATAACAATTACTGGACTTGATAGCAAGGAAGGCCAATTGAAGGCGCTATAACAGTGGAACTGATGGTCAAAAAAGGCCAATTGAAAGCGCTATAACTGTTAATGATCTTAATACAAAAGATTTCAAATCGACATTAAGACTAATGCCAAACGTTCCCAAATAAGTAAACGGCTATACTCAGCATTATTATTATCATATTCCAACTCGTGGTTGCTTCAATCGGAAAACTAAGTAAAGTCCCCGACAGACAGTAGATAAATAAGAAGGCGTATGGTATCAGAATAGAAGCCATATTGACTTGTCGACGCAAAGATTTTTATGTTTATTGGAATACGTTCTTCGCTCCAACACATGAAACAAATTCTTTTCTGATGGATTCCTACAATAAAGGCTGCCGCAGACTTTTATGTCGACGATAAATTTCGCTTTGCATGACCGATAAAGACAAATTGAAGCAGAAAAAATGGCATCTTCCAAGAACTAAAGGTCTACACATACTAATAATTCTATTTACAAAAGGCTCTTTATTGTTCTCCGTATATATATATATATATATATATATATATATATATATCGTGAGAGAGAGTGAGAAAGAGAGAGAGAGAAAAAGGGAGAGAACTAGATAAATAAATAAATGCGTGTGTATCGGGTGTAACAGCAAAATTGCCCAATACTTAGATTAATCTTGAGAGAGAGAGAAAGAGAGAAAGAAAAAGTGAAAGAGGAAGGGAGAGAACTAGATAGATAAATAAATGTGTGTGTGATTGTGTGTGTGTGTGTGTGTGCGTGTGTGTGTGCGCGCGCGCGCGTGTGTGTGTGTGTGTGTGTGTGTGTGTGTGTGTGTGTGTGTGTGTGTGTGTGTGTGTATCGGTTGTAACAGCAAAATTGCCCAATTCTTAGATTAATCTAGAGAGAGAGAGAAAGAGAGAAAGAAAAAGTGAAAGAGGAAGGGAGAGAACTAGATAGATAAATAAATGTGTGTGTGTGTGTGCGCGCGCGCGTGTGTGTGTGTGTGTGTGTGTGTGTGTGTGTGTGTGTATCGGTTGTAACAGCAAAATTGCCCAATTCTTAGATTAAGCTCTGAAACGTTGCATCTTGGAAATGATTAAAGATAATCTTACTGGAATTCTCCGAGGATTTTAAAACAATATTGGACTATAGTTTGAGCAATAAAAATGGATAATTACTTTCTAAACGGAACAGAAGAATCATGAAATCGATCGTAAACGAAAATCACATGTACGTTCTTAATTAATGACAGCTAAAGATTGGAAGCTCATGAAGGATTTAAATAAAGTTCATATATATATATATATATATATATATATATATATATATATATATATATATATATATATAGAGAGAGAGAGAGAGAGAGAGAGAGAGATCTGAATCGCTATTATAACATGATTTCGTTGTCAAGCTTTTGAATCTTCCGATACTTGGGTTTTGATTGGTCATTCTAGCTTTTGTAACAATGTTTTCCTCTAGCGAAGGATCGTTAATTAATTTGAAACTTTTAAAACTATTTATTTTATATTCAACATCATCACTTGATAAGACACCGAGGGTGTTGAAACAAAAGGGCTATTTTTGTAGTGATTTTATAACATATTTATGTTATAAATTTTTTTAATATATTATTCCAGGATCATTTTCCGACTTATTCAAAATTATCTTCGCCCTAACCTTCTAAATTTCTGTCCTGAAGTAACAAGATGCTTCACACATTTCACGTATGATTTCATTTTCAAAGTTTGTTCCACAGCTCTTTGGACTGTCATAGCTGAAAATCCTCTCTCACGTGCCAAACGTCTTATGCATTGAGTTGGATCTTTTCTAATTCATATTTTTTTTATCGTTTAAGTAGTAACGATGATCCCTCTTGCTGTTGTGACTTCTTGATATAGTTTTCCTCTCTACTGTTTCCTCTATTTTTAAATTTTCCTCCGTACTCGTGATGGTTCTTTGACGATGGAAGCCAGAGTATGAATGTTGGTACTATTACTGAACGAATGAATGATCTTTTTCCTCTCATCATTGCTCACTTGGGAAGACAGTGGGACTAACACCAAACGATTTTAAACTGTTATGTTTCTAACTGAATAACTCAAAGGTTTTTTTAGTGATTCTTACGACAAATGATTCGAAGATGGCTAAGCGTATCTGAAAATCTGGAAAAAAACGAAACTCAATTAATTTTGTGTTTTTTTTTTTAGATATTAAACATGTTGTGATATAGACAATTTTGCTTTTACGCAATTTGGACAATTTTGCATTTTTGCGTAATATTTTGATAAATATGTAAAACAATCGACTAAAATAGCCTAATCCACAATGTAAAATATGGCTAAAAATAATGGAAGTATTAATAATCGAAAACAAAAAACAATGCTTAAGGTGCCTCAGAGGTTTCACATATGATTTCATTTTCAAGTCTTTTTCATTGCTCTTTGGACTGTCATAGCAGAAACTCCTTGATTGAGTTGGATCTTTTCTAATCGATCTCTTTAGCTCTATGTTGAAATGATGATCCTTCTTCCGGATGTGCCCTCCTGATCCAGATTCTCTCCCTAATGTTCCCACTTTTTAAATTTTATCCACTATTCTCTTGATGGTCCTTGAGTGTACTTTGAAGTTGGGACGATATAAAACGATGTTAACATTTTCTTTTCTAACTGAATAACTCAAATGGTTTTTTCCAGTGATATACTACGATAAATGGTATAAACTGTTCCAACAGGCATCGGTGACGAAGGGGTAGCGAATCCGACTCGATATAGCGCCGCTCGATCATATATTCCCATAGGACTGTGGCCCCACGAGCCACGTCTACTATCTACCAGGGAATATGTGGTCGAGCGGCGCTATATCCAGTCGGATACGCTAACTCTTCGTCATCGAGGCCCGTTGGAACAGTTGGTATGACGTTTGCCTGATAACGTAACTGTCCTGGTTTCAATTCTCGGTATTGGATGCGCACTGCTGATGAGTCCCAAATATACGACGAAATGGCTGTCCTGTGCTTTCTGAATTCTCTAGACTCGATGAATTAATTATAATATATATATATATATATATATATAGGAATGTCGCTGCCGACACTTGGATTTGGATCAACCTCAACTTGAAATAATTAGATAAGGTGATCACGATTAAAGCATATATATATATATATATATATATATCAGAATTAGCGGCGTTTGACCGAGTAAGGTTCAAAGGTGTTACTATTATTGTTTCTGCGATTTAAAAAGTCTCCCATACAAATGGACATTATATATATATATATAAAATTGAACATTGAAGTGAACACTTAGAGGCGATAAACTGTTTCATGCTAGACGCAATCATCAGGCCTGACGATTGCGTCTAGCATTAAACAGCCTGTCGCCTTCTAAGTGTTGACTTCATGGTTCACTTTTATAGTTACACACACAGTCTCTCTGATATTGAGCTCATGATCCCATAAAAATAGCACATCTTAAGAGTATATTTCTTCATATATATATATATATATATATATATATATAGAGAGAGAGAGAGAGAGAGAGAAAGAGAGAGAGATTTGTAAATCTATATATATAGAGAGAGATTTAGCTGAAAGTTTTTTCATCGATCAATCAAATCATCAAATTTCTCTCTCATTCTATCTATCTCAGGTCTGTTCAATTTGTGTATCTAGCAATTTATCTCATAATATCATTCTATATTTCTATCTGTCTATCTCAATTTTTTCATATATATATATATATATATATATATATATATATATATATATATATATCAGTCTCTCTATATATATCTAACTATCTCTGTCTCTTCATCATATCTATCAGTCTATCTATCTATCTATCTCAATCTCTTCATCATGTCTATGTCAATCTGTCCATCTATCTCTGTCTATTCATCATATCTATCTATCTATCTATCTCAATCTCTTCATCATGTCTATGTCAATCTGTCCATCTATTCATCATATCTATCTATCTATCTCAATCTATCTATCATATCTATCTATCTATCTATCTCAATCATCTTCATCATGTCTATGACAATCTATCTATCTATCTCTATCTATATCAATCTCTTCATCATATCTATCAATCTATCCATCTATCTCTGTCTATATATCATAATATCTATCATCATATCTATCTATGTCAATCTGTCCATCTGTCTCTGTCGATCCATCATATCTATCTATCTATCTATCTATCTATCTATCTATCTATCTATCTATCTCTTCATCGTCTATGTCAATCTATCCATAATCTCTCTCTCTTTCTCTATATATATATATATATATATATATATGTGTGTGTGTGTGTGTGTGTGTGTGTGTGTGTATCTGTCCGTGCCTATTTAAAATGCACATGCATTCCCAAGTTTTGCTCAGTTATATTTTCATCTCGTTTTTCAATTTGCTTCTCTCTAGAGCGCGACCGTTTCTCTCTTGCCATCTCCTCTTCTTCCCCTTGTCACTCCGCCCAGGACCTTATACCACCCTGCTACATATTGATTTCCCTCTTGTCCGAGTCCATTCCTCATTTGATCATCCCCCCAACTTGCCACCTCAAATTCTATTCTCTCCATTGTAACATCACACATTCCCCCTTTTTTCCTACCCGCATCTCTTCGTCTTGCTTTTTCCCGCTCGCCATTGTCCCTAAGAGTTCCATTTCCCTGGCGTTTTCCAAGCAATGGCGTCCTGCTTTTGCATGACTAACTCCTGTTTCACTTTCTTCTAACGCGGCGGAAACGTACCGACAAACGAATTCTCTTACCCTTCCAAAGCAACAATAAATTTGTTACCCGATGGGTTTCGTTACATTTCGATATACAACGGAGGAAAGTGCCAAGCCAATTGTTTCTTCTTTCGCACTTTGCTGATCTCTTTTCCGGCTTCAGGCCTTTTTTGGTCATCAATAATTTAAATGCAATTTCAATCGTTATTTCCTGTCTTTTTAATCCTCTTTGTTTTTGGTACCTGTCTATATTTCCGAGATGAGGTATTATGTACACTATTTACATTATTCGCCATATTTATTACAACGGTTCGGCCGTTGTACGTTCAGGCCTTCTTCAGGTGGTTGGAATATCGAACTGAACCCTTTATTTCGATAACTCGGGTAGACTGTTCCAGTTCCACGTGCCATGTTTAATGGATGTCAGTCATCTCCTGTTAATTCCTTTCTGCAAGTTCTCCACATCCTTAACCGGGTATTGAGCTCACACTCTTTGGATCCTGTCACTGGATGTAACTGACGCCTTTATCCACTGTCCTTGAATCTGTTTATGAATTTTGGGGTATTATAAACCTAATGTCTTCAGCAAACATTTTTTTACCAGGATTCATAAACAATTTTTGCTGTTATCATTGCAGGTTTTTTTTTTTTTTTTTTTTTTTTTTACCAGAGCTCATATTTCAATTTTTGATGTTAATATCGCTTATCCCTGGCACTCCTTATTACTTTTTCCCATATTGTATTCATTTCTATGCTTGGTCGGCTCAGGAGATTTTTGTGGCCTAGCATATGTGCTGATTCCTTAAGGTTACGAATTTTCTGATGGTATTCTTTGTCTATGATGTCAACTTGAAGCCACAGAGGGCGGTGATTTCCCTTTTCTCTCCATATCTGGTCAGTCTCACGCATGATTTTTCCAGCTTTCTGGTGTTCTTGATGCCTTACCTTAAGGGAGCGGCCTGTCTCTCCTTTATATTCCTTTCCGCAGCTGCACGGGATAGCGTACACACAGTCTTTAGTCATGTTCTCTTATATGTGGAGTCTTACTCGGGAGAGATATCTGCGAAGTGCCATCAAGCTTTTGAACGTTGTCCTGATGTTATATGAACCGCAGATCCTTTGTATTTTCTCCGATAAACCCTTCAAATAAAGCAGGCAGTGTTATTGTCCTCCTCTTGTACCCGCCTATCCCAGTTTTTGGGTGCCACTGCCACGTACCCTGGGTAGTTGTTAGGTTGTAGGTTACTACTTGTACTGACCAATTCTTTTTCTAATGTATCTGGGTCGCCACTTATGACTTTTGATCGGTGTTTTAAGCTCTTTATTTTTGTTTTTAATTGCCCGTTTTTTTTTACCTCTCGGTAACTCCTTGCATCCTACTGGCTTTATTGTCTTTATTCGTCATCATAATTACGAAAACTTACACACAAACAATGAAGAAGCTGGAATATTCTAATATCAGATTAAGATCGGCTGTGGACAAAATAACAGATAAAAAGACTGAAGGACCATAGGGAATTGATAGTAAAAATATCCTATGTACATTTACAGTAATAATATATGAACTATACGACAGTGGTGATATACTGGAAGGTCGTTTTTTGGATTCATCTTCATAATCTTGCCTAAGAAGACAGGTTTAAATAAATGCGATCTCTATCGCACTATGAGTGTCCTCTCGAACTTTCTTAATTACTGTTGTTCCCAGGCCCACCCTGACACTATGACAGTATAATAATAGATATTTATAGTAAAAATACCAGCAATATATTTTTTTTGAAAATATATTACCTGCAATACATTTTATAAAATAAAATTATCTCATTAATTAATACTAATATATACCGCACTGATCCCAGTAATTTTGATTTTTTAATTTTAAAATAATTACGGGGTGGGGGGGCGTTTTTAAAACTCACTCAGATTTTATGGCAGTTACAATGAGTTTGTCTTTGTAATTTACCACTGAAGATGAAAAGGTCGAAAGACGAAATTCATCAAAGAAGGCACTGTAATTTTTTGTTAACTGAAATACTTTCAATCTTTACCAAGATCATCTTCAAGGATAAATTACAAAGACAAACTTATATATATATATATATATATATATATATATATATATATATATATATATATATATATATATATATATATATATATATATATATATTTAAAGATATTTTGTAGGTACAAAATTTAATGATCGAAATAAAATATAAAACTTAATATTACGAGACATATTAAAAACGGGCGAAGCAAACCGGTTTCGCTCCCGCTCTTCAGGCTTCAACGGGAGATTTAAAATTAACAAAGAAAAATGTACAATAAAAGGAAGTTGTGAAAAAAATAGCAAAAGGAACAAGAGACAAATGACAGCGAGTCCCAACAAACACTCACGTTGTTTGCACAAAGAAGGCTTACGGGACCCGATGTAAAGTGCTTCCAGAACCTTTAGATGAAATAAGGAGTGAGACCGGGACAACACGGTGAACCATTCAACACTAAATTTGGCTGCACAATCTCTGTTCTTTAATAGGTGTTCGCATGTTCGTACATTTTTCTGTGTTAATTTTCCGGTTATATCTTTAATGTATTAGACATCCGAGAAGATTCATATTTCTCTCACTTAAACCGTCTTTGACTCACCTCTTTAAAACTTCTCTCTGTTAAATTATAAAACCCTACTTCATCTTTAGACCTTCCTGTTCTTCTCCTGTTTTTCTCTCGTCTGCAATCCCTCTCTATAGCGTTCTTTTACTCTAACATTCGTCCCACTCTCTTATACATAAACTCTCACTAAATTTTATTTTTTATTCCCGAAGTTGGTTTTTCTGTTTTCTTTTTGAATTTTTAGGTCTGATGAATTGGATCGTGTTTACGATTCCAATGAAATAAATTATGACCATGGAATATAAGTGTTTAAGCTTTTTTATTATATGTAAATATATATATATATATATATATATATATATATATATATATATATATATATATATATATATAGTTGAATTGAGGTGTGTTTGTGACCCTGGGTTTCACAAACTCACATCAATTCAACTAAATATGTTAGCTCTATCTCTGATATTGAGCGGTTTCTAATAAATACCGCGTATATAATATATATATATATATATCAGGTCATCCCATAAATTCTGTCCGAATTTTACCTTTTTTTTTTTTAAAATGAACGAAATTTAAAGAGTATTTTATAATGTCTAATGGAGATGAACATTATATAAGTAGAATATAATCATAAGTAGAGACGATCCTCAAAAATCCATTCGGTTATAATCTATTTCATGAATATATACAAATATTCATCTCTTCAAACCAATTTTTCAATATGACCAGATGAAAGAAAGAGAACTAAAAATGGAAAAGGAAAAAATTATATTAAAAGAGGAAAAAAGAAAGAGAAATATTTCAATATAAAGTTTTAAAGAATTTGGATGGGAGAAAAACGAAAGAGGGGGATTTTAGAGTAAGAGAGGGAGAGAAAGAAAAGAAAGGAAATAAAGACACGATTCGACAGGGTGAACTAGAAACAATTTTTTTTTTCTTTACGGGTTGAACAAATTAAAATACAGGGATCAAACTTAAAATAGATACAATCATCTGTTTAATATTCATGTCGTTTCGACAGCTTCATCAGATTATAATAATCAGAATTTCAAATTGCTACTACTACTACTACTACTACTACTAATAATAATAATAATAATAATAATCATGATATTTGACATCAATAAAATAAAGGAAGTTAAATTACCGAACATAACAGCAAAATTCTCCAAATAATGTTACAGCATAATTTTTCACCCCAAAAATGTTTGATATATAAAAAACACTAAACTGAGTTTCATTTCTCCAGGTTTTAGATGAGATATATAACAATTTTGAGACCATTTATTGTACAAATAACAGAAAAATCCTTGAAGTTATTCAGCTACAAAGAGAATAGGTTAAAATTGTTTTGTGTCAGCTCCACTAACTTACCAAATGAGCAACGGTTAGAGGAAAAAGATCATTCGAGCCATCGGTAATAGTACCAACAGTCATATTCTGGCTTCCATCTTCAAAATCCATTCAAGAACCATGAAGAGAACGGGAAATAAGTTTAAAAAAAGAGGGGTGAGAACTGGATCAGGAGGCCACATCAGGAAAAGAGAGAAACATTTCAACTTAGAGCTAATCAGAGCAATTAGAAAAGATCCAACTCAATATATAAGATGTTTCACACGGGAAAGAAAAGTTTCAGCGATGACAGTCCAAAGAGCAGTGAAAGAAAACATGAAATCGTACATGAAAACTTTGAGGCACCCACTTCCTCCAGGACAGAAAGATAGAAGTTTCAAGAAAATGAAGATCAAATTCAATAAGTGATCCTGAAAATATATATATATATATATATATAAAGGAAATATGTTATAGTGGTTCCAACGAAAGAAAAGTATGTATAAAAAAGAAGGGGGGTGCCGCAAACGTTTTTTGGTTGTAATGTGGATTTATTGAGAAAAAATATTATACTTTGTTTTACATAATTTCGAGAATGTTTCACATTGAACATGAAGAAAAATTAATTATTTTTAATATTATTAAAAATAATTAATTTTTTCTGAAGACGGTTGCGAGACCAGACCAGAAACATTGTCGTGAAATTATGAAAACAAAGTATAATATTTTTTCTCAATAAATCCACATTACAACCAAAAAACGTTTGCGGCACCCCCTCTTCTTTTTAATATATATATATATATACGAATTTCATTTCAGTTCTTCATGTGCTTCCGATCTTAAACTATGATTAATTAATGATGTACATGTCATTTTTGTTTCTTACCGACTTCGTCACGTTTCTTCTGTTAGGCGTGTAGAGTAATTATTTATTTTTATTGCTCAAAGTAAAGTCCAATATTGTTAGAAAAACTTCAAAGAATTTTATTAAGAAAAATTTAAACAATTCTAAAGTGTAACGGT